CATATGGAAGTTAAATTACAACTGTAAAATCCCAGGTTTATTTCCACGTAAAGATATCAACAGTTGTATAACCGGTGAATTAACAAGCATCGAGAATCCGAAGGAACATGTTGGCACAGTATATGAAGAAATCCAAGAACAAGCTTGCAATGAAGTAGAACAAAGGGAGACGAACGGACGGGGGTACACGGTATGCGGTCAAGACATTGTTTCAAACACTAACAATGATTTTAACAATAGAAAAAGTGGTCATACGTACTCTCATCTTCGCGAACACTCCAGGGAACTAACTCATGAGTATAACATGAGCCAGGGTACTGAGCTATAAAATAGTGGTTCAGGTGTTAGGGTTAGGGTTAGGGTCAGGTGTGAACTACACTATCAACAGCATTATATATACACCAAATTCCACTCAAGCTACAGTCATGAAAGAAAACATAGAACATACTGATGTAGGTAGCTATAATAAAGGACGGTTGGATAATGAACTTTCCTTATCTAATATCACTGAAGATAATCTTCAATCCGAATATGATGTGCCACCTGCTCGTAAAGATGAAGAGAAAAATCCCAACTTTGAATTGGAGAATGAATCGGATAGAGGTCAAGTTACTGAGGATAATTTAGACACAGATTATGATGTACCACCTGCTCGTAAATCTGATCAAATTACTTATTTAGAACTAGACACTCTAACAAAGATCAAAGGGTGAAACAGATGACTAATTACCACCACTGTAGGATCTGATAGTGTTCATCAAGCAGATAAAGTAGAGTCCATCTGTTTCAATTACTTTTACCAACAACGGGACGCATGCTCAGTACTATACCCATTTGCTGTTACTTATAGTTAATTAGTTAGCTGTTAATCAGTGTTGGGTGAACTTAACAAAGCCCTTTAGTTTCGACATTGTATATGAGTTTAATTGTGATAAAACATATTTTACCCTTTGGATACGTTTTTTAAATGTACATGCTATTTTCTATTTTTTTTCTGTTTTTAAACATCACGTCAATTTTAATACATAGGGCCTACTATACAAACATTGATTTGTATAATATGCTTTTAAAAAAACTCTTTTTTTTTAATTTTTTATTTTTTGACAGCGGATGTTAATCGTCGATTTTTATGAAGAAATAATCTAATAATCTGTCATGAGGCTGTCATACCCCACTCCCCTCTGTTCACACACGCACATACACACACAGAATCAGGCACACACACACACACACACACATAATGGACACGGAGATCCCTTAAACCTTCCTGGTTATACAGAAAGAAACGCACGAGGTCCCAAGGTTAAAATACCGTTACGCCTGTCTCCCTCGACCCGACAGGTATAATAATCGTGACGTCTACACAATAGAAATCATGAACGTCATCTTCAGCAGCTCAAAACATTCCGTTCGTCGCTTTTGTTATGTGTATTTGGTATTTGGTGGAGGGGGGATGAGGTGCATCCGCTTGCTACCAACTCTCACTACCCAAGCTTTCTCTTTGTTGGATTATAATCCAGCATTCGTGGCCCGTATATAATTATAACACAGTAGTCTATTTCTTCTTCTTCTTTCTTAATTTTTTCGTGTTGGTAGTGATCGAACTCGAGACTTTTTTCGATTTCATAGCCATGAGCTTTTCCGACTCTACCACGCCTGCAACACAATTAATGATAAGTGTCAACTGGTTATGCGCCATTCAGGTCATTGACTCCAGTTTTAGCTTTTCTTTTTGGATTTATCCAACCAAGAACAAACTACAAGGCAGCAGTTGTTTGATTTTGGAGTTGTCTCTCCTAGAAGAGTGGCTGTCCCCAGCTAACGAGCCTCATCTGCCCGAGGGTTCGAACTCAAGATTTTTCGGTTTACCGACTCGACCATGCCGACCCCTCATGGTAGTCTGTTTAGTGTGACGACGACAGAAGCTTATATCTTCTACGAACAATGATAACCTTTAGCGATGTATTATAGAAATGGTCGCAGTTATTTTTTTTTAGACGGCGGGTAAATCTAAACATTTCCCAAGGAACAGTGCTGAGGCTGAGTGACATGTGTAATGTGTCGAAATACACAAGCGAGATAACTGTGCCAGTCATGATCTCTAGCATTATTAAAGTAGCGTCCCCTTGTTAATTGAGAAATGCGCAACTGAAAAGTGGCAGCAACCAATAAATTAAAATGAATACTGCTCGTTTTTTACTTTCTCGTATATACGTAGTATAGAGAAAGTATTGTAATCGTGCAAAAAAAAAAAATCGAGATTTTTACAAATCTCGACGTTTTACACCTCACTGATACGGAAAAACATAATTTTGCAATCTTGTCCGTATGTCTGTGTGTGTGTGTGTCTGTGTGTCTGTCCGTGTGTAAACACGATAACTTGAGTACCGTTAGAGCTAGAATGATGAAATTTCATATTTAAGTATTTTATCAAAATCGTAGATCCGTATCAACTTTTGAGCGATTTCCGATAACCGGAAGTGGTACTTTTCCTACTTTGAATTTTCCAAAAGCCTATAACTTGAGTACTATTTCAGATAGATAAATGAAATTTCACATGTAAGTAAAAGATCTAATTCTCTACCTTCTGTTAAATTTTGAATAATTTCCGTTGACTGGAAGTTGTAATTTACGCTACTTCCGATTTCTCAAAAAACTAATGTAAATTTATTAAGTACTAATACTATTGCGCACTATTATACACACCTTTATTAGGCGTTCGCTTGGTGCGCAATTGTTTTTTACTGAGATTCTATTCTATTTTTAAAAGTTTAAGTATTTAAAATGGATTAAAAATCATAACTATATCCCCAGTTACCATCCACTGTTGTTTTATATAAGAATATTCGAGAAAGTTTAGGGGAGATCACTACCGGTTTATTATTTTCAATATCTCTTGTTAAATCCTGTTGTCTTTTTACTTTCTCGTATATACGAAGTATAGAGAAAGTCTTGTAATCGTGCAAAAAAAAAAATCGAGATTTTTACAAATCTCGACGTTTCACACCTCACTGATACGGAAAAACATAATTTTGCAATCTTGTCCGTATGTCTGTGTGTCTGTCTGTGTGTCTGTGTGTCTGTCTGTCCGTGTGTAAACACGATAACTTGAGAACCGTTACAGCTAGGTTGATGAAATTTCATATATAAGTATTTTATCAAAATCGTAGATCCGTATCAACTTTTGAGCGATTTCCGATAACCGGAAGTGGTACTTTTCCTACTTTGAATTTTTCAAAAGCCTATAACTTGAGTACTATTTCAGATAGATAAATGAAATTTCATTTGTAAGTAAAAGATCTAATTCTCTACCTTCTATCAAATTTTGAGTCATTTCCGTTGTCTGGAAGTAGTACTTTACGCTACTTCCGATTTCTCAAAAAACTAATGTAAATTTTAAAAGTAATAATAATATTGCGCACCATTATGCGCTTTTTTATTTGGCGTTCACTTGGTGTGCAATTAATTTGTCTACGAGATTTTATTCTATTTTTAAAACTTTAAGTATTTAAAATGGATTAAAAATCATGTCTATAGCCCGAGTTCCCATCCCCTGTTATTTTATATAAGAATATTCGAGAAAGTTTAGGGGAGATCACTCCCGGTTTATTTAAAGTTGTGTTTAATCTATTTGTGTTATATGTAGTGTATCAAATATCAATATATTTATAGGACTGTGTATATAACCTAACGAAAATGACCTATGGTGCTTAAAATCTAAAAGTATAATTCAAAGAAAAAAAAATAATTTTTAAAACAAAATAACATTGCGCATTTTTTGTTAACAACTGACAGCTCTCTTAATATACTTTGCATGTTCAAATATCTTTGTATAGACATGGTTGTATTGTATCTTATTTGTATTTGCCACTTTAATTATTTTTGAAACAAAACATGTATGGCTTCCAAACCTTATGTTATGTAGCATATGTGTCTTGGGCAAAAAAAGGGGAGAAAAATGAAGTTTTGTTGCATTAACATATGTATACTTTATTGTAATGCAAAATACATTTACGAAACGTACACACACATGAAGCATCGGTTTATGATTTTTTTTAAATGTGAAGTTTTGAGAAATCCAACCCAAGGCCACATGATCTGTCAATAAAGATCTACTTGCTCTCATTGTAAAACAGGGTTGCTAATGCACATGACCAACACACATGAATCAAATTGAAACGTTTTATGCACGGCTTTATTATTCCAGTCTATTACACTTTTCTTTATCAGCAAATTGTTCACGAAACTATTTTTTTTTTACAATTGTTTCTTCCGGTATTTAATAGACAGTTCTAATTTTTATTTTACAACGTTTTTAAGTAGTTTTGTTTTTTAACACTTATGTGGAAGTGTATGCTCATCTTTCATCGCGATTTATGACAGATTAACAAGTGCGGAGAGATAGCTAACACTAAAAACTAATAATCCTAGATAAATTATAACAGAAAAGACGAAACTTTTGAATAAAATGCACACGCATTGATTTCAAAGTGGCCATTTATGGCTTATATTAGTAAAGCACCGTGTTCACACTAGCGACTTGTATGCATGTCTAGGAAAATAAAAATGCTTCGCATTAAGTGAGTAGTCCCCCTCCATCCAATATATATGTTCTGATACATTTAACTTAGGGCGAAGGTTTTTTGTTTTTTTTTTCTAGACGTTTGTAGCATACAAGTGTAAACGCGGTGTAACATCACAACATGCACTTGGTTTTTTTTCTAAAAACATGCACATGGGCTAAAAGAACAAAACAAAATTTGACGAAACGAACACAGAAAACGTCAGCTATGAGGAATACACAACACACTCGTTGTTATCTGTGTTTATGAACGATAAAGGTCACTTGGTTTGTCTGAAATTTCAATTAAAGACCAAAGTACATTCAGGCCTGGACACTTCAGTGTGTCCATGATCCTATCAGTGTCTTTATCTGCCGCCATACTGTGTTGGAGGCCCATGTGCTGGTCTGTGAGGCGATGAGTGTGATTTTTGGATGGTTATTGTACTGATGTGGTAGTTTGATGGAAATATTGGGTACTATCTGTCTAGTGTCACGTAAAGTAGAATAATAAACACATTCTAGGGAGAAACATTTGGTTTATTTCGTCGATAACCAACATGTAAAGGAAACTTTTATGAGGCTTCAAAATTAAAAGGTAAGAATTTAATGGTGTATCACTTGTTATGGTAAAATAGAAGCACACACACACACACTCACTCACTCAAACACACATATATATGCATATATATTTATTTATTTTTCATTTATATATATATATATATATATATATATATATATATATATATATATATATATATATATATATATATATATATATATATATATATATATAAATATATATATATATATATATATATATATGGTTGCACTCATCGTGGAGAGCTGTAAAATAGTATGTAGGTAGAGAGAAATTTTTGTTTTAAGACAGACTGTTAATCACAAATTTATTTAAAGACGTTAATTAATTTATTGATTTATTCATACGTAGAGTAACCCTATTTTTTTTAAAAGTTTAGAACGACCACTACACTCGGCGAGATTCTCGGTTCAAAACAGCTAAGTCTGCGCGCGCACAGATAGACGGTTTGCACCGAGAATTTTAGACCGAGCAAACCGTCTATCTTTTTAAACCTGCTATAATTTTGTAAATAAGAACAAAAAAAAAGACCAGCCTTACCATACAAGAGACCAGCCGATCTCAAAAGACCAGTCAGACCTATCAAGAATTCAAAGCGACAGATATTTGTGCACTGCAGTACAAGCCTAATGCTACTGTCTACTTCAAAGTGAATTAGCAGATAGCTGGCAATCGCTAAGCTAGGGTTGTAAGATTATGATCTCATCTGTAGCCCCTGTAAAGTTGTAGAAGAGCAGAAAAAAAGATAAAAGCTGTCATATTTGAGCACCTAAAAGCAAGTAATAAACACACCTTTTTATGATGATTTCCCTGATTTTAAAAATATGTTGCCATTTTGATGTTTTTAATGTGACGTTTATTCAAAGAATATATTTTAAAAATAAACACATTTTTTTGTGTTACATTTTTGTAAAATAAGTAAACATTAAGTCAGTATTAATGTGATTAGTGTGTTATGTCTCATTCATAATATATCTGACAATACGGTTTCTGTTTTTACTATTATCATTCTACAAACCCAGCACCCACCAGATTTAGTAAAATAAACTGTGAGAATAGAAAGATGTAATAAATAAAGCATAACCTTCAACAGTTACCAAGTCTAGTGCTAAATACGGACATAATGAATACAGTCGAAATCGATAAAGCCATACTAAAACATCTCTACTAAAAATTAAAGTGACCCCATAATGTAGAATAAACTCAAATAATTAAAATATGAGCCCAAAAACTATAATCTAAATATTATGAAGTGTTAATTATAACTTAAAAACATAAACATAACTAAATCACGTTCATTGGACAAAACGAACGAACGTCACAGTTTTTACTTTCTCGTATATACGTAGTATAGAGAAAGTATTGTAATCGTGCAAAAAAAAAAAATCGAGATTTTTACAAATCTCGACGTTTTACACCTCACTGATACGGAAAAACATAATTTTGCAATCTTGTCCGTATGTCTGTGTGTGTGTGTGTCTGTCCGTGTGTGTGTCTGTGTGTAAACACGATAACTTGAGTACCGTTAGAGCTAGGTTGATGAAATTTCATATATAAGTATTTTATCAAAATCGTAGATCCGTATCAACTTTTGAGCGATTTCCGATAACCGGAAGTGGTACTTTTCCTACTTTGAATTTTTCAAAAGCCTATAACTTGAGTACTATTTCAGATAGATAAATGAAATTTCACATGTAAGTAAAAGATCTAATTCTCTACCTTCTGTTAAATTTTGAGTAATTTCCGTTGACTGGAAGTAGTAATTTACGCTACTTCCGATTTCTCAAAAAACTAATGTAAATTTTTAAAGTACTAATAATATTGCGCACTATTATACGCGTTTTTATTCGGCGTTTGCTTGGTGCGCAATGTTTTTTTTATGAGATTCTATTCTATTTTTAAAAGTTTAAGTATTTACAATGGATTAAAAATCATAACTATATCCCCAGTTACCATCCCCTGTTGTTTTATATAAGAATATTCGAGAAAGTTTAGGGGAGATCACTACCGGTTTATTTGTTTACTCTTTAGTACAATAAAATGGCGGCGTCTATCGAAGAAAATTGTGTTCCCATTCAGAAGTTTAACGCGTTCTAAATCTAATTTTCTGTCGTTCATAACTTTAACAATACGTCCCTTTGCTGTATTTATTACGTTCCAACACTTATATCAATTTTCAACTGTCTTTTTACTTTCTCGTATATACGAAGTATAGAGAAAGTATTGTAATCGTGCAAAAAAAAAAAATCGAGATTTTTACAGATCTCGACGTTTTACACCTCACTGATACGGAAAAACATAATTTTGCAATCTTGTCCGTATGTCTGTGTGTGTGTGTGTCTGTGTGTCTGTGTGTGTGTCCGTGTGTAAACACGATAACTTGAGTACCGTTACAGCTAGGTTGATGAAATTTCATATATAAGTATTATATCAAAATCGTAGATCCGTATCAACTTTTGAGCGATTTCCGATAACCGGAAGTGGTACTTTTCCTACTTTGAATTTTTCAAAAGCCTATAACTTGAGTACTATTTCAGATAGATAAATGAAATTTCACATGTAAGTAAAAGATCTAATTCTCTACCTTCTGTTAAATTTTGAGTAATTTCCGTCGACTGGAAGTAGTAATTTACGCTACTTCCGATTTCTCAAAAAACTAATGTAAATTTTAAAAGTACTAATAATATTGCGCACTATTATGCGCTTTTTTTATTGGGCGTTCACTTGGTGTGCAATTAATTTGTCTACGAGATTTTATTCTATTTTTAAAACTTTAAGTATTTAAAAAATTCATAAAAAACGTTTTAATAACAAGCTTTTATGTAATGATGCACTAAAAAGTAGAAAATAAATTATAGACTACTATTTAAATAACTATAAAGAAAAGCGTGGGTCACTTTAGTATCTATTGGATACCTTTACTAATGTTAAGGAAGACACCCACGCTTTTCTTTATAGTTATTTAAATAGTAGTCTATAATTTATTTTCTACTTTTTAGTGCATCATTACATAAAAGCTTGTTATTAAAACGTTTTTTATGAATTTTTTTTCAGTACTTTACATGTTTTATCTACAATAGAGTTACATGACTAAAAACCATTGCGCGCCAGTAGAATATCACGTTCAGTAGGCGCGCAATGGTTTTTGAACGCAGCCATTACGTGGTCGTGATGGCGCAGCTATTGATGACGCGTGTGGTGTGGTTGGCTAGACATGCCTACTAATTCGGTCCAAATTTTAATTAATTCATAAAAAATTAATTAGGCATCCAATTAAGTCAAATTTAGTTTCAGATTGCATTGTCTTCATGTCTTGACCCACGTGCCAACTGTGAATCGTATCGGTCAAGTAGAACTGTCCGAATTTTCACTCCTGCGTTTCCGTCTAGACAGACTGACGACTGACGACAGAGGAAGTGAGTTAAATAAAAGCTTGTAAAAATGGATTAAAAATCATGTCTATAGCCCGAGTTCCCATCCCCTGTTATTTTATATAAGAATATTCGAGAAAGTTTAGGGGAGATCACTCCCGGTTTATTTTTTCATTTAGTTTTACAATAAATTTCTCTAGATCTAAAGATCAGCTGTCGAAGGAAAGTTATGAATCTAGCCTAGATCTAGATCTAGCCTAGATCTAGGTCAATGTAAATTCTAGATCTAGACTTAATGTAAATTCTACATCTAGAATCTATTTCAGGCCTTAATACATCTAGAATCTATTTCAGGCCTTAATTATTTTATATAAATCTTTGTTTGTCTAATTTAAGATACAATTTAATTTGAAAGTTACTACTACTAGACTTAGATCTAGATCTATGCGCGTAAATCAAGTTGCATAAGGAGACTCACAGTATAGTATAAAAATTCATTTGTAACGTCACGAGTAAATAGCTAAGTTGGTAGCGTAGTCCGCTCTCATGCGGGTGGCACAGATTCTAGACCAATATGTCAATGATATTTTTTTTTCAATTTTTTTTTTTTTTTAGATGTGAATGATAAAGTTGCCTATCTGAACTTGGCAGGATACAGGGCAGGTGAAGTAGAGTTCATCTGTTTCTTTGTCCTAAGCATATGAAAGGATAGTGTGGTCAGAGACATGCTCGGCTGGAATCGTTTTTTAAACGATAAAAACATGTTGTCTGAGACTTGGCGGGACACTGGGCAGGTGAAGTAGAGTTGAGTAGGTCACATGTGACGTCAGTATATGAAGGGATAGTCCGAAATCGGTGTTTTCGGTGTTTTTAAAAGATAAGAAACATATTTTTGAATGTGGGGGTCTGTTTTTTGTGACGATAAGTGACACTGCAGTAGCGTAGCGAGGAGGGGGGGGGGCGGGGGGGGGGGGGGGGGAAGGGGAGGAGGGGGAAGGGGGGGGGGGCGGGGGGGGACATATGTTGGGGCGCCAAAATGGTTTGGAAAAATAAATTGAAAGGTTGAGGGGGGTTCAAATCGAAAGTTTGAGTGGGGGGGGGGGGGGGTGCACATCAAAAGTTTGAGGGGGGGGGGGGGTGTTGAAAATCGAAATCTTGGGGGGGGGGGGGGGGGGTTAAAATCGAAAAGTTTGTCCCCGGGCGCCGGGAAGGGTCGTTATGCCTCTGAGTGACAGACGTGATGTTTTTTGATGGATGACCCCCGAAACCCACAGTTATCCAACGGATGACGGGTATTCTAGTATATATATATATATATATATATATATATATATATATATATATATATATATATATATATATATATATATATATATATATTTATATACGTATATATATACATATATATATATATATATATATATATATATATATATACATACATGTGTGTAAAGAAAAATGTCACTTGCATACACAACAATACATATTGAAAAATGTATTGACACATTTGTATACGATAGACATTAAAACGAACAAGGGTGGGATACATTACGCCACATTCATAAACATATACTTACTTTCTTACACGCGGTACTTAGAAAACACATGCTTGACCTTACACATAAAATACACAAGCTTATCGGAAACTAACATATTAACAAGACACCAAAATAGTTTAAGTCAGCACATGAACACTAATTACGTTTACATTATTTGTGTATATGTAATGCAGTTGTTATTATATGTAATATGTACCCAGATAGCACAGATCACAGTAGAGCAACATACCCATCCATCATGACTCGACTACTGGTGTGGTTGCTACTGATGTACACAGCGTTGGTAGAATGCCAACAGGGATCAGGGATTTCCTTCAACATGTTCCCAGCTGAACCCGACCCCGGAGAGGGGTCGAAACACCTGGGGATGTCCGCCCTTAACTATCGCACGTGAGGACATTTGTTTGCGATACTTGATTACGTTAGTTAATTGAGTGCAAATTTCTAACATAATAACTCTAGAATCGTTGTAGAAGTAGTTGTATGAGAAACATAAACGAGTACATAGTTTATGGCACGGCCTGACCTAGTGGTAGAGAGCTAGACTGCTAACCCGTTTCAAATCAGTAGAACCTCACTAAGTCCACCCAGCTCTAATGGGTACATAATTCACGGTATGGAAACAAAAGCGACTGGTCATAGCGCTGACCACACTATCTCTAAGTATGTCTCTGAAGCAGATGCACTCAACACTATCTGACCCATGTGTCTTGGGTACAAACGGGAAATGTTTATACACAGTTTAGGCACAGTATGGTAAAATTACTTGTTCGATACGAAACACGTGAAAATAATTAATCTGCCAATTACCGGCAATGCACAGTACTGCCCACTTAATAACATCATATTATGCCGAGGTCACATAAACATACGAACTCTTCTTGAACTGCCCATGGTTAGTTAGGTACTTTACTTTAACTGATAATACTGGTTCAAGATTTGTATTGTATATAATTAAGTGTTTAAGTGCATTTTAGGTATTTGAAAAAAAAACATGTTTTAGCCCTACTGATGTCTTTGATATCAGCAAGAATTTATGAATGAACACTACCATTAAAACTAACAGGCTTATATATGTCCACGTTTGGTTTGATAATTTTCAGTTTAGTTTACACGATGTATGAAGTCTTGTTTTGTTGTTGATACACTTTTTAAGATATCAGGGTCTAGATAATACTCAAACATTTTGATATGTATATATACTTACTTACACCTCTCTAGTGGTTATATTACAATCACTGTAGATCTATAACATAAATGGCTATGTCGATAATTAAAGTGGATACGTTTCGATCAACTACAATGTGTACATGAAGACAATGAAATGATAAGTTAATAGATAATCATAGCATTTAAATATATTAACTGGCTGAGTTCCAGGGCAAGTTTTAAGATCTTTGAACAATTAATTAGCCGTAAGTAATTAAGATTTGAGTTTAATTAACTTTAATGATATGTCAACATGTCCAGAGTGAACAACATCATGTGCCGAGGTGTACCTGGCGACAGCTTCATCGTCAGGATCGATCCCAACTCAGGCAAGACGGAAATCGTCGACAACTCAATCGGTATCAGCAACAGGACCAAAGGGGTGGAATCGTGCATGCCGCCCTCCCCGCCCGTCACCTGCACCTCCAAACACTTCTGCGCCATCGGCAGCTTCTGCACCGTCAACATCATGATCGGATGCGCGGACGAGGTCGGCCCGACCCGGTGGGAGAAGATACCGGAAGTGGAGGTGACCTTGGCGGATTTTCAAGGTCATCTGACGTTGGAGAAGTGTTTCGTGATGTGTTTGGACACCGGGTTTATTGAAGAGGGTCTGGATCGCCATCATCAGGGGTTGTCGTACATGGCTATAGGGTTCATAGTGGCCGGGGTCATTGTCCTGGCGTCGCTGTTGGTCATCGGGTGTGTGGTGTGGAAGATCCGGGACGTCAGACGTATAGAACGTCCCAGACGTCTGAGTCAACACCATATCCATTACGTCAAGTAATATTCACAACATATTCTTTACGTCAAGTAATATTCACATCACATCCATTACGTCAAGTAATATTCACATCATATTCATTACGTCAAGTAATATTCAGATATCCATTACGTCAAGTAATATTCACATCATATCCATTACGTTCGGGCAGATGAGGCTCGTTAGCTGGGGACAGCCACTCTTCTAGGGGAGACAACTCCAAAATTAAACAACTGCTGCCTTGTAGTTTGTTCTTGGTTGGACAAAGGCTATAGAAGCAAATCTAAAAAGAAAAGCAGGCTGAAATCGGAGTCAATGGCCTCAATGGCGCATAACCAGTTGACACGTAACGCTTAATTGTGTTGGAGGCGTGGTCGAGTCGGCAAAAAGCTCATGGTTGATAAATTCGAACAAAGTCTCGGCAGATAAATCTCGATCCCCTTCAACACTAATAATTAAGAACGAAGAAGAAGAAGAGAAGAATCCATTACGTCAAGTAATATTCACATCACATCCATTACGTCAAGTAATGTTCACAACGTATTCTTTACGTCAAGTAATATTCACATCACATCCATTACGTCAAGTAATATTCACATCATATCCATTACGTCAAGTAATATTCACATCATATCCATTACGTCAAGTAATATTCACAACATATCCATTACGTCAAGTAATATTCACATCATATCCATTACGTCAAGTAAAATTCACATATCCATTACGTCAAGTAATATTCACATCATATCCATTACGTCAAGTAATATTCACATATCCATTACATTAAGTAATATTCACAACATATCCATTACGTCAAGTAATATTCACAACATATCCAGTACGTCAAGTAATATTCACAACATATCCATTACGTCAAGTAATATTCACAACATATCCATTACGTCAAGTAATATTCACAACATATCCATTATATAAGGAAATATGGACAACGTATCTGTTATGTGAAATAATATGATCAACAATTTCAAATCAAATAAGGCAACTAATACATCAAATAATAGATCCATTAATTGTTAAGTATGCATATCGTTTACATAAAAAAAATATCTATTCAACATACTATTCTTTACGTCCAATAGAAATATCACTTCTATTAATAATTAAACAGAGTTGATATAATGAATGGATTGTGTAATATAACTCACATATCTTGTTATATATAGTATACATGTAAAAAGAACGAAAATGTTTGATTTCATGTTTTGTGCTTTAAGAAAAATAAACCAGTCACACACATATAGTAAACGGCTACAGGATATCACCCCCGGCCCCACTGGACTTTTCCCTTTCTCCCACCGGACATCCCCCCACCGGTATTTACGTATTATATAGTAACCATATGTTTAATGTTTGTTATTAACTTCACATATATTTCAATAACGTCTGAATGATACAGCATAATCTAAAGTTTGAATGAAATCTCAAAGTAATATTTAACTTGATTAGTAAACATTAGAGCAATGCAATTATAAAGTCAAATTTAAAACATAGTAACTATTACAAAAAAGTAAAAAACATCATCAATATACACAGTAAAGCAAATGGGCTGTTTGTAAAATATTGTTGAGGGTATGACGGCCTCGGCAGCTTAGCTGAGCTAAACAAATGAGAAAAGCGAGTAAGATTATAGAGTTGCAGCCCTTTGCTCCACAGGGGCTTCACGATAGTCACGACGGCCACTGAAAGAGGTCGCGTAGTATTTTGCTGTGACCTGGTCAAATGATATATATTCACATCCTGCATGTCATGTATGTACATTCAGGTGCTCACAAAGTCCTATTCATTTCGCCAGATATTATAGCGACGATTCAATTGTATTAGGTCCATCAACCAAGAGGTGTAAAATCTTATTTGAAATGAGAAATTACGAGATAGTTTTCATTGCACATATTTCTATATCATACACATGTCTGTAAAATGACTATTCACAGTATATATATATAACACCCAAAGCCAACACATGCAAATATAAACAGCCAGCATATACATACATACATACATGCATATATATATATATATATATATATATATATATATATATATATATATATATATATATATATATATATATATATATATAATAGCTTTTTTAAAAAAATGTTTTCACTATTTGTTACACTTATTTTTTGTTTTACATGAAATCTCGTAGAGTCTGTAATAAACATACATCTCTAAACCTACGTGGCTTTATTTTTTGTAAGTGGCAGTATCTTGCTAAATAAACACCTTAATCTCAACCTACACATGCAGGAGTTAATTATTTTACATTTTCTATAATAGTAAAAAATTGTACTTTCAAGTTAAAAACGTATATATTTCTCTAAAAGTTTGCATCTACATTTTTGACAGGAAAACTATTCGACTATTGGTTTTACACTGTGTTCTATTATCTCTGTTCTCCTATTTCAAAAGCGAGCTGCTGATTTTCTGTCACATTTATATTGCAAATCTTCAAAAGTCTAAGAGTCACAACAAAGATTTTTAAGAACTTTATTTTCTGTAACTCGCCATAGTGTGTAAGCAAGCTGTGTGGTTCTAGAACAAATATAACTTGCTACAAACTCGATCAGTGCCAAAAATGTCCGTCTTTGACCCCAAGGTCGACTTTGTAAACAATCCGGCATTTTTATAACGAGGTGTGTGTTTTTATCACGCTCCAGTGATTCTAGCACACAGTTATATTTAGCACAGTTTAAAATAAATGACCTAATATAAAATAGTGGTGGTATGTGTTATAGTATTTGGCTGATGAGGGCATTGGCTTTAGAAGGTGATAGATGTAAAGGTTACAGACAGACAAATGCATGTGTAAAGTGTTTGGATTTAACACAGGCTGTTGTAAGGAACACATCGACGTTAGCTTTACTGGCAACGACAGCGTGACTAAGGTAGGTTTTTCTTTTACATTTAGTTGTTATACATAAATTTTTGATACGATTCGGCCGTTGTATACAGTTATTAAATTAATAAATATTATTCCAATTTCTGGAAGAGTTCAATATAAGACAGCAAGAGTAATATAAAGATCCAACTTCTTGTTACAACAGCTATAATTATGACCTATTCCATCAAGTCGATAATATATTAATGTGTTAGTCTTAATGAAGTAAATCAATAAAGTAAAAACTATTTTGAATTGATTATTATTTCTTTTCTCGGTTTCTAATGTTTAAAAATACATTTTGCTGAATTGACGTTACTAATTTATATATTGCATATATAGATATATATTGCAGATGAAGCGGGGTTCAGCGATTTTACTTATCTTACTTGTGAATCAAATCTTGTCAGTTAAATGTCAGCTGTCTAAGCTGACATTTCAGTTTAAGCATATATCCAGTGGTCAGTTGTTAGCTGACACAGCCCAGCTGTTGTTGGATGACACCAATATTAACAAGTGAGTTCACATTTCTTTACATTTCTATCTCATCCTTATAAAAAAAAAATAACGATAACATGATTTTAATACAAGGCAGGTTTTATACTGTTATTTTTTTTTAATCCGTAGAAATTGATATCATCTTTCTTTTTATTTTGTGTTGTCTGATTGTACTTGTTTTTAATAAAGGACATATATGTTGTTTATAAATTTTACTTTAATAATATTTTCTAGACCATATACCTTACTTATAAGAATAATTCTAAATTTAAATTAGGCTTACTTATTCGATGCAATATCTTGTTAAAATAATTTTTTTTAAGAGCAACGTAGAGCTATACTCTAAAAGTATTTTATACACATAACATCAAACATTTGTTAAGCCTGTACAATAATAGGCGTATGTGTTTTACTTATATGTTTATGTAAATTGAAAACTCGAATTTTTTCGTGTTAAATGTACTCCTATGTATAAGCAACATTCGCGTTTAAGTAGTTCCTCAATCCTGTCTAAATTGTGACATTTTAAGTACATAGTCTAATTAATATACTAATCGCATACATATTTACATTCACGCCTGAATAACTTTGGTTTCCAGAATCCAGAACGACATATGTTTCGGTGTATCTGGACACCACATCGTCATCAGGATCAGCCCGTCCACGGGAAACATCGACCTCATATCCAAAAACAACGGCCTGATCAACGGCACCCGAGGGGTGAGAACGTGCATGCCCAGCACCCCGCCCGTCGTCTGCACCTGCAACATGTGCCAAGAGTTCTGCCAGTGCCAGGTCAACGCGCTGGTCACATGTGAAGTAGACCGTGACCTGGCATCCTTTGAAACCACTCAGCGGATTGATATCACGCTCGAGAAAGTCGACTCCAAAATGACGATGACGTATTGTTATGAGCAGTGCGTGTTGGGAAATGACGCGCCCATTAAACTTCATGAATCGGAAAACCAAGGACTTTTATCATTGGCAATAGGTTTTATAGTAACCGGTGTTATGGTTTTCGCTGGTTTTGTCGTAATTGGGGTGGTTATCTTGAAGATTAAAAAATATCGTCAGATAGAAAGAAGATCGACTAGTTGCCATAATATTTCTTGTGCAAAATAACTGGATTTTAAAAAAAAAAACCTATTTAAAATGTTAAATAAGTTTCTTAACTGATTTGGCAAAAGTCATTATTACCTAACTCGCGTACCATATGAAATATGTTGGAATATTGTATTCAAGGATGTAACATTTTATGTTACCATGCAGTCGTTTGCTAATACTGTGTATAGGTTGTTGCGGTTACACATGAGACAAAATCTTGAATAATCATCAGATTAGCAGACTAAACATATACGTGCAGGAATAACTGTTTTATTACACAGGCTTTCAACAGCAACCTACAGGTGAAGGGAAGCTTGTTGTATCACTGTTTGAATTTTAACAATATCGTCACTTGTGCTGTCAGTTATAGATAGCAGTTTAGATATTATCGTTATACAAAATATACATCGGCTGTTTAGTACACCAATATATATATATATATATATATATATATATATATATATATATATATATATATATACTAGCTGCATCCCGTGCTCCGCCACGGTAAATCTTTTTTAAATGTACCAACAGAACAAAACTAAACAC